CTTGAGGACATTATGTTTAGTGAAATTAGTCAGTCACAAAAGGAGAAACACTGCATAGGACCACTACTGTAAAAGACTAAGAAAAAGAACCCATACTAAAAGGGAGGGGGGATTCTTTGCTGGTTACTGGAATGTGGGAGAAGAGAAAGGTGGAGCACAGGGCAGGGAATAGACACAGGATAGTTTGGGTTCTGTGGAGGGGGGCAATATACAAGAAGAGAGAGGGGAATGGAAGAACAAAGCCGATGGGTAAACAATTAGGCAGGTTTGCATGGGCTAAGGGGGACAAAGTTAAAGAATGATGTATGCACAACCTGTGGAGTTGGAAAACAAAAAGAGAAAAAACCAATCAGTATTTCTCAAGCTGAAAGAGGTGAAATAAAAAATTCAAGCCTTAACTTGCAATACTGAAGTATTCTATGGGGAAATATTTAATGATACAGAAAGCATCAAAAGAATATGGAAGGCATATATAGACTCACTATACCAAAATGAAATGTCTGATGTTCAATCATTTCAAGAGGTATCATATGATTATGAGCCAATGTCACTGAAGGAAGAAGTCCAAGGTGCAGTGAAGGCATTAGCAAATAACAAGGCTTCAGGAATTGATGGAATACAAATTGAAATCTTTAAACAAATTGATGCAGCACTGAAGGCACTCACTTATCACTGCCAAGAAATTTGGAAGACCTGGCCAAATGATTGGGAGAGATTGATATTATGCCCATTGAAAAGAGAGAGATGACCCAATGGAATGCAGAAATAATCTAATAATATCATCAATACCATGCATGAGTACATTTTTGCTAATTTAAAAAATGACTGCAACAATGCATTGAAAGGGAACTGCCAGAGGTTCAAACCAGATTCAAAGAAGATCGAAAGAGAGATATCATTGCTGAACTCAGATGGGTCTTGGCTGAAAGCAAAGAATAGCTGAAAGATGTTTCCCATGCTTTACCGACTACATGAAAGCTTTTGATTGTGTGGATTATGACAAGCTATAGATAACAATGAGAAGAATGGATATTCCAGAACATTTAATTATGCTCATGTGCACAGATCAAGAGGCAGTTGTTTGATAGGAACAAGGAAAGAATGAGTGAAATTAAAATCAGCAAAGGTGTGCACCTGAATTGTATTCTTTCATCGTACTTATCAGTCTGTATGCTAAGCAAATAATCCAAGAAACTGGACTATATGAAGAAGGACATGGTAGGACTATATGAAGGAGGACATGGTAGGACTATATGAAGAAGGACATGGTATCAGGATTAGAGGAAGGCTCATTAATAACTTATGATATATAGGTGATACAACCTTTCTTGTTGGAAACGAAGAGGATTTAAAATACTTACTGATGAAGATCACAGAACAAAGCTTTCAGTATGGGCTTCACCTCAATGTAAAGAAAACAAAACATTCTCACCACTAGACCAATATATAGCACCATGACAAATGCAGAAAAGATTGAAGTTGTAAACTTATTTATTTTTCTTGGATCCACAACCAACATTCTTGAAAGTAAAACAATCAAATAGCCTATTTCGTTAGTTAAATCTGAAGCACAAAACCTTTTTAGATTGTTCAAGAGCAAAGATATCAGTTTGAGAACTAAGATGTGCATGACGCCTATCATGGTATTTTCAACAGCCTCATATGCACATGAAAGTTGGACAATGAATAAGGAAGACCACAGAAGAACTAATGCATTTGAGTCATGGTGTTGGAGACTAATATTAAGACTGCTAGAAGAATGAGCACATCTGTGTTGGAAGACATACAGACAGGATATGAGATTGTGTCTCTTATACTTCAGACATATTATTCTAGGGACTATTGCCTGGAGAAAGACACTATGTTTGGTAAAGTGGAGGATAATCACAAAAGAGGAAGACCCCTAATGAGATATACTAACACAGTGGCAACATCAATGGGCTCAAAAGTAACAACTGTAAGGATTGCACAGGTCCAGGCAAGTTTTGTTCTGTTGTCCATAAGGTTGCTATGCGTCGGAACTGACGTGATGGCACCTAACAAAACAACAACAATCGAAAATACTCTATAAGTAGTCAGTGCTTATTATAAATCTATATTAATTCAAATGATGTAGTACTGACATAAGTCTAAATTAACAAACCAAAGAAATAGAACAGAGAATTCCAAACTAACCCACACATGTGTAGATACTTATTTATGACACACATTGTATTATGATGCATCAGTGAAGAAAGGGCAAACTCTTCAATGAATGACATGGGCTTTTTGACATCCACATGGAATAAAAAAAAATGCAGCCTGACTCCTGCCGCTAAAAATGAATTCCAGTTCCCCTGTAATCCATATCTAAAGGAAAAAATACCAATATGTCTAGCAAATAACAATGGAATATATCTTCACAACCTTGAATCGAATATATTTTAACTAGAGAAAAAAAATACTAACCATGAATGAAAAGATGAAAAAAATAGGATCAAACACATTTAACCAACAAAGTCCCTATATCTAAATTATGCAATAAATTAGAAATAAGTAAAAAAGTCAAATAAAAAATAGGGAAGAGACATGAAGGCATATGACAAAAAGGGACATGAAAGATGTCAATAAATATGAAAAGGTGCTAAGCATCATTCATCACGGGAAAAATGCAAATGGAAACCATAATGAGATACAACTGCATACCCAGTAAAAAGTTAAAAAGCTAAACAATGCCAAATTTTGTATAGAAAATAAAAAGTGACTGGAATCCTTACATAATGCTAAAGTGAATTAAATGAATACAGTACCTTGGGAATCCATTGTAGAAATTCTACAACTCTCAAGTATGTCAAGCAAAATAAATACATGCAAATGTATTAACAAAAGTCCTGATGTGGCACCGTAAGGTAAACACTCTACCTTGAGGTTGGTTTGAACCACAAGATCAGAACTGACTCAAGGGCACTTAACAACATGCAAAAAAGTACATGTTTAAGAACGACTGTAGCAGTGTTGTTTTTAACTAGGAGGCACAAAAATTATTTAATATGTCTCTTTATGCCATAGTCTTTGTAACTTCTACCAAATGACTGAGTTGTGGTGGTGGTTATGTGCAGTGGAGTCGGTTCTGACTCATAGCGACCCTGCATAGGATTTCCAAGGCTGTAAATCTTTAGGGGAGCAGAAAGCCACATCCTTCTCCCATGGAATGACTGGTAATTTCAAACTGCTGACCTTGAGGTGAGCAGCCTGACTGGTAACCACTATGCTACCAGAGCTTTAGGTTGTATGGAAGTTCGTTGTAAGGATTGGTTAGTTTTATCATCCCTATACATTTTAAATGAGTCATCTCAGAAGCATGGATGGTAAATATTACAACACTCAAGAAAGCAGAGCCAGCAATGGACAGATCCTTTGGACCCCAAGGTTCCTGCATGAAGAAATGAAGTTGAGCCAGAGCATGAGACAGAGTAGAAGGATTCCAGGTTCCTGGATCTAGTACACCTGAGAGTGTCCTTGGGTCATTTACTGTCAGTGCTAAAGTCACTTTGTAACTCTTGCCAGAGCAAACAGAAGCCAAAGGACACCATGATTGAGAGACTGAGGACCAGAGGGAAGTGTGCACACAGTATCACTGACAAGAGGTGCTCCAGACCTGAGAACTACCATATCTTGCGTAGTTTCAGATCCGCAATTGTACCATTAACTTCCCTAACAAACCAGAAACTATGAGCATTGTTTGTGAGTAATTATTACAATGAATTATCAAACCAGCAGTGAAGTTGAACTATGAGAAGGATGGTTGGTGTCAGAATAGGGTGAAAAGGGTTGGAAAGTGGAGGCATGTCTGTCTGATAGCTACCTATTTGTAATCAGCCTTGGGCTGGTGATTCTCCTTCTTCCTTCTTGTCTGAAGCTAGAGGAGGCCTCCAGGGCATTCTTGCAAACAGCCAAACCAATTTTATGTTTTTTCAAAGTATAATGAATATATAAACTCTAATATAGCCATTCAGTGGAATCATTATGGCTACATACAAAATTTAGAGTCCTGGTGTGGCACTGTAGGATAAGCACTGGACCACAAAGACAGTTTGAACCACAATTTTAGTGGTTCAAACTCACCAGCCAGCCTCTCCTTGGAAATCCTATACAGGGTCTCTGTGAGTTGGAATCAACTCAACAGCACTTACCAAAAATAATAATATAAAATATATATAAATCTCAACATGATCCTGAGAGTAAGAAGCAAGATTTATGGAAATAAATAAAACACACTGTGTAACTCACTAATTTTAATTCAAAATCAAGCAAAAATAATCCATTAGTATTAAAAATCAGCAAAGTCATTTCCTTCGAAGAGGAAGAAGTGAGTAGTGATTGAAAAGGGCATGATGGGAAGGAATAGAGATGGAGGGCATTGGTGACATTCTATTTTTGACCTGGATAGTGATCAGACATATGTTCACACTGTGGTGATTCATTGAACTGTATGTATGTTTATGATTTGTATAATTTTCTTTTGTTTTACTTTAATTACAATGTTTCTTGTTGTTGTTGTTAAGTGCCATCAAGTGGGTTCCAACTCATAGCAGCCCTGTTATACGGTTTCCGAGGCTTTAAATCATCATGAAAGCAGAAAGCCTCATCTTTCTCCCATGAACTGGCAGGCTTGAACAGTGGACCTTGTGGTTCACAGTCCAGTGCTTATTATATGGAGTTACCATGCTCCGCAATGTTTGTAGCTTTTTTAAAAAATTAACATTGTATTATTAAAGAACTGTTTATGATTTAGAGAAAGAATAAGTAACAATGACTGCTGTAGTGCTAATTTTGGAACTTGCTTTTATTTTTTAGTAGAGAGAAAAAAATGGTATATAAAAATACCATCAGTTGATAAAACTAGAATTCTTGGAACATTACGTCCCCTATAAGGAATATCAGTACTGACACATAGTCTACATGTGTCATTAGATTTCCCTCTAGGATCTAGTCACAGACAAGTATCATTTCCTTCATACCTGTGTCTTTTGCTGTTGCTCTTAACTTCTCTAATAACACTAAATGTGTCAGTAACTTCTCCGTCTGTGAAGACAAAAAGCTGTAGAAAGAAAGAAGATAGTAATCAAAGCTCTATGAAATTCACTTTTAAAATGTAAGAATTTGTTCTTGAAAAACCCAACTATTCCATTTGAGAGGCTGTGTTGCCTCTTCAGACAGGAATCGGACCCCTCATGCTCTACTGTCACTATGTTATCACATGGTCTGTTCAGAAATCTGGGAATTTTCCACACTTTCCCCTATTAGTTTAACCTAAGTCTTTCTGTGTCTTTGCAAGAAAATTTCCTTGGCCATGAAATGTAGAGGTACTCCATTAAATGCTGTTTGTCTTTTTGTCCTTACTAAGAGACAGAAGTTCTGGTGTGTGCTATAGGATTATCACTGGATTGCTAACCCCAAGGTGGTGGTTCAAACCCAACAGAAACCCTATACAAGGTCACCATGTGTTGGAATCGACAGAACAACCCTTAAAAAGAAAAACAAGTGATAGAAGGCTCTCGAAATTAAATGCCATAGTTCAACAATCCTGCAATGTAGCTATGCATCAGAGATTCTTGAATAGAGATTTCACTTCCCATATCCCTTTCTGTTACCTCTGCTCCAGTTCTTACCTGTGTGGGGTGGCCAGGGATGGTGGGTGACCCATATATGGCATTGAGTGGTGCTAAGATTTCAGTGCCCCCTAGATCGGCCGTCATAAGATTGATTTTCCGCAAGGCTTCTTCCATTGTGTGTTGAGTGTACCTCACACTATCCCTAGGAAAAACAAATAACACACTGCTACAAGACAGATACTCTACCTTTCTCTGTGCTGAGGACCTGTATTGAGATACCCCTAAAGTAGAATCATCTAATCTGAAATCCCCATTCCTAAATCAAACCTGATCATCCCTTTAAAAATCTAGTCCCTTTCTTCATATATCCTTTGAGATTCTATGATCTTTCTAGAAACTCACTGAAAAAATGATTCATAGGAAGATCCAAATCCAAAGATGTTGAAATAGCAGCCTACAGGTAAACTCTTCAGCAGCAAAATCAATGTCTCCTAAAGGTACGAAAGTATAAGGAGACAGGCTTAAAAAGGGCCCTCTCAGACATACAAATCATGACAAATCTAACAGACATGAGTATTCACCCTCCCTCATCCATAGGTCTTTACATTCCACAATGAGCCTCAGAGTGGTCAGATTAGTTGTAGCACTAATGAGGCACAGTCCCACAACACAGGTGGAACTTAAGGCAACCCAGGAGTTTCATCCTCATTTGAGTATGTGACCCTCATGAAAGAAAGTAGTTTTACCTTAGCAGCATCTATACGCATCTGGGATTTATTCTGTTTACTCATAGGGCACTGCATACTTCCTGAGCGGTCCATGAGGAAGATAAATTCTCCACAAGTGATTGGTGGCTGAGCTTCTGGGATATCAGGATAGAAACTCACCATCGCAGTTGGTTCTTCCATAAAACAATCTATTCCAAATTGATAAAGATACTTCAAGTTGATAAAGGCAAAAGGAACTGAAGAATCCTAAAGCTCTCAGGAATAAACTGCAGTAAATTGAATAAGGAGTTGATACATTAAATAATTTAAATCTAAAACACTACTGTATTAGAACCCTACACCAAATCTGCTTGCAAGGGGTTTGAGGTGAGAAATAAACATATCCATGAGGTAAAAGTAGAATAGATATGAAACAGAAGAAAGAGGATCAAGACACGCACCAGTTACCTGGAAACTAAACAAATATATAAACAAATTAGGCTAAATGTTTCAGCCTTTACCAAAATAACCAGACCATTTTTGGCAGAAACATTTTCTTCTAGTAAACTCAATGGAGGAAGTTACCACATGTGTCCTGGCTTACATCTTCAGTTACAACTTTGGAGAAAAAAAAAAAAGTGATATTTACAATGAAAATCTACTTTGACAATTGATAAAAGTTGAAAGTATGATGTCATCTAGCACTCAGGTAAGTACATCTTCTTTGGGAATGCAGTTTTGTTGTTAAGTGCTGTTGAATAAATTCCGACCCATAGTGACACTGTATAGGGTTCCCACCAGAACAATAGGACACTTTACAATGAATGTTGGAATGGCAACTTTGTTCAAAGCCATAGTTGTGATTTTAATTTGGTGAGCAAGTAAAAGCTCGTATAAGAATTGAAATAAAGGAAAAAAAAAAAAAGAGAATCGCTAGGTTATACGATTTTACAGTTCAGAGAATATAAGAGGACATAGACTTAAATACCCAAGTTTTATTTTCATAAAGTGATTCCAAGATTGTTGGTTGAACTCTGGATAATCTTGTGATTCAGACTGTCCACAGCAACTGGCTTAGTTTAATCTTTTCCTGATGGGATACTATGATAGCCAAAGTGGATTCCAAATAAGTGGGTGAGGCCCAGCAAATATCTGATAGACACTAGTCTGAAAATAACTTTTACACAACACACATCTCTGGATATGTCATTGAGAAGTGGCCTTCTTCAATGGACAAAGTAGAATCCTTTCTATTTTGAGAAATAGCTTAAGTGCAACCAGCACTGTTCTGAGGAGTCAGAAGACTTGCTGTGAAGATTCTATGAGTTAGAATATCTTAACTGTTCAGAAAAAAAGTCAGATACATAGCAAGTACTCTGAATAGTATCTAGTATAATTCTTTAGACCTAAATCAAATTATTTTCATCTATCTGAGTCTCAGCTTCCTCTTTTACGAAAAGATGAATTTCAAGCCCAGGTTCTCTGCCTGTTAGCCTCAGTTTCCTCAACTGGAGACTAAGTAATATCTACTTTAGGATGACTTTAAGGGTTGAGTGATTAAAATAAACTATTTAGGATTTGACTCAGATTAAACTCTCATTAATACTACAAAATAATCTATGGATTTAAACTATGCTATTTGTATAAAATTATAACTAAAATAGTAAAGATCATGTTCTTAATATAGTAAATATATTATGAAGTTTCAAAACTAAATACTTTGTGTTTTCATCATCTTGCTTCCTTTGTCCAAAGTCTAACTGATTTTAGTGAGCCAAGCAACCATTTAGGGTTTTCATTAGCTTCTCTGTATAATAGAAAACAGTGAGTCATCACAAACCAGATATATGTCTGGGCAGAAAGACTGGAGGCACTGGAGGACAGGAACCAAAAGATCCTAACAAAGGCTACCCCAGCTGCTACCTTTGACTGGCAGAACTGGGATTGGAGAGTAAATGAGAACATCTGCCCAGGGGCCAGGGGAACTTCGAAAAAAGAAAGTAATTGAGATCTCGCTCTGAATTTTTTGAGCTTTAACATATAACACGCATTCTGGTGTAGTGCTATAGGATAAAGCACTGGACCTCAAGGTCAGTTTGAACTGAAAGAACTGTGGTTCAAACCCACCAGCCACCCTTTGGAAACCCAATACAGGGTCACTATGAGTCAGAACAGACTTGACAGCACTTAAGAACAACAACATTATAAATGTTCCCTAATGGATTAAAACAGTTCTGAATGAAGACCATGATACTGTTGTGGGATTCAGGCACACATAAATAACTCACCAAAAGAAATGGATAATACTAAGGAACCACTATATAAAAGAAAGAGCATGGCATTTCATGTAAGATGAACTGGTTATAGCAAGTCTATCATTAAGGCTGGAAACCCCTCTAATGAATGCAGCATACACAGCTTTCCTGGGACAAAATGAATGTACATGTGAGAACTAAATAAAGAGTTCCTGAGAAATTTTTTCTCTATTTGTGAGCTCATAAAGCTACTTTAGCCAAACAAAAATAATGAGAGGTAGCACAGTGGTTACGAATCGGGCTGCTAATTTCAGTTCTCTTTTTAATATTTTTTAAACTTTTTATTGTGAACTGGTTAAAGGTTTACAAAGCAGATCAGTTTCTAGTCAACAATTCATACACATTTTGTTTCATGTCACTAATGGCAATCCCCACAATGTAATCCCCACATCACTCATCACACTTCTTCCCTATATTTCCTGTTTCCATTCCTCCTTCGTTCCTCACCATTTTGAACTTCGTCTTTGGGTAAATGCTGCCTTTTGGATTTCAAACCATTGATTACTCTAAGGTGTGTATACCTCCCAAGAGACATTGTTCCCTTATAGACCTTTCTATTATTTGGCGGAGAACTAAGCCATGTAGGTGAGTTCATTTCTAGGCCTGAAGGATGACTAAGGATCATAGTCTCCAGGATTCCACCAGTTTCTGAGTTTTGTGGGACTTTTTTTCATGATTTTGGGTTTCCTTCCACATTTGTCTTCCACTTGATTCAGGACCTTCTGATGTAATCCCTTTCAGAACATTTGGTAGTGATAGCTAGGCACCATCTAATACTTTTGGTCTCAGGTCGTGAAGACAGAAAGTGCCAAATTCATCATACCTTTTAAAGTATGGGGCATTATCAGTTTTGAATAGCTTTGATCATTTGAAAGATGAAAAGTCACATGATTAGTTTCATTCGAATTTCTGTCAAGACTGATCATCATCACATATGTTTATAAACTTGTTATGTTTCCTTTTCTGAACAATTTGTTAGTATCTTTAAATGCAGATATCGTAAGTCAATTATTTCATATTGTTAACCTACTGATTCACTGATAGGTGCTTACAAGACAAAGTTACTCATGATGACCCTAAGTACAACAGAACACAACACTGCGTGGCCCTCACAATCATTGTTATGATATAACCATATGGTGGTCATTAAGCCTAACATTTTCATATGCCCTGGTGTGACACTGTGGGTTAATGCACCAGACTGCAAAGCCATTTGAACTGCAAGGTTGGTGGTTCAAGCTCATCAGCTACTCCTTGGAAACCCTATACAGGGTCGCTATGGGTTGGAACCAAGTCAATGGCACTGAACAACAACAATAACAACAAGGTAGGTTAGTCCAATAAATCACATCAATATTTTAGTGTGGTGCTGCGGATTAGCAATGGACTGTGAACCACAAGGTCGACAGTTCAAACCCACCAGCTGCTCCTCAGAAATTCTATATAGGGTCACTATAAGTTGTAACTGACTTGCGAGCACTTAACAACAACAATATTGAATAAAATAAAAGTGAGAGGGTAATTTAAGGGTAACCCCAAGAAGGAAAATTATACCCTGGAAGGTGACTATAAAAGAAGGACGGCAATACCTGAATTTGTTTTTGGTTTCCCCATTTCCAAAGCTACACTGGGGGTATGCACCTCACTGTAGTAAATCAGAAGCTGCACATCTTGATCAAATTTGTGTCCATCATCCAGGGAAATCTATGGAGGAGAGAGGAACAGGAGACATGTTAGAACTATCACTGCTTACTGCCTGAAGTGGATGTCAGAGCAGAGCCATAGGTTTCTTCCACAAAGATCATGGGCAGGACCAGGGCTAGAATAAAGAGATGGCTCTAGATATGAAATAAGGACAAAGAGGGAACACAGTGTGACTTCCTCTGGATGAACAGGAAAATTTAAGGAACAATAAGGAAAGAATGGTGAGAACCGTCTAAGGGCATTGACAACAGCACTGCTTGTATTAATTACCTGGGCCATAGTCTTATCATTTCCAAGGTACTCAAGAGGAGTCAAATGGCAGTTGGACTGGACCTTCTCAATGCCATGCTGGGAACTGATGGTGGCGATCATGCTGAGTGTGTATGGCATTTTATCCAAAGCAACTGCAGGAGCCTTAATTTGAAGGCATGTGTTTGCAGGCCATCCTACAAAAAGTTACTTTAGTTATCTTTTCCCAGCTATAAGTCACTCACCACTAGTATTCAGAGGTATTTGGGTACTCACGGGAGAGATGGTATCGAGGATTCAGGATAGCTGGGAGCACAAAGCGCAGGGCCCCATCTGCTTCCAGGGGCAGCTCCTGCACGTACTTCAGGGTGAGTGACACCTTCGACCCAGGAGGCAGGTTGCCCACATTGCAACTGAAGACATCCCTGGAGCTTGTGTCCTCCTCCAGTAGGAAAGCCTGGTGGCCCTGAGCGATGGCATTCTCATAGGAGGTGTGAGCCTAAAGTGAAAGAATGAGGGGAGAGAAGGAAGGTTGATGGATGCAGAAAAGAAAAGAAAGACTCATGGAATGGAATTGATTGGTCTTGTCAAAGTCAGAGCTAAAATCTGAGTGTCTCTCGTTAATTTCTCATTTCAAATGATTTGAAGAAAATAGCTAGAGTCAATGAAGAAAATAGCTTTCCGCATCAGCATCTTGCATGGTTTTGTTTGAAAGACATCCTGAACAGAACATATTAATGAAATAAGAAGGAAGAGTACAAGGCTGTCATCCCTAGTACCTTCATTTTGTCCTTTAATTCTGCTGCAATTGTCTTTCCATCCACCAAGGCCTCAAAGCTATAGACAGCTGAGTCTTCATCCATGGGAAACACAAAGAAGGCCTCCACAGGAACTTTCTCCTTATTCTCATAGTTTAAGGTTGCAGATACACCAGCCACAAACTCACGTATAGACAAGGTCACAGAGATGCTCTTCAGTGGCACTGGGGATAGGCCAGAGGTAAAGATTTCAACAAACTTGAATGGAATGCTTGTCTCCTGCGAGCCATGTAACATGCATGGTGTCCGGAATACTCTGGCAAGTAAGGGACTACAGAATTAGGCTTACCTGGCTCCTCTTGACGTGTGAGTAGGCCACAGGGGAGCATTATGGTTGCGCAGGTTTTCTATGGAAAAGAAACATTAAAAGCACAGTGTTACTTCCTCAGATATCTGTTTAAATATAAATAAGAAGTAAGCTTCTCTCTGGCATAAGAATACCCTCAATGGTTTAATATGCAAGACTGGAGGGAGAAGAAATCCTAGAACAAAGGGGAAAAAGATTTTGATAGTAAATTTCCTTTCAAATACCAGGTGGGGACAAAGTTTCTGATAGCAAGTTTTCTTCTAAACACCTTCTAAACACCATGTAAGGAAGCTGTGAGATTCACAGCCTCTACTAGTTGCTGTCTTGTTGAATCCAACTTACAACAATGCCATGTGTGTCAGAGGAGAAATCTGCTCCATTGAGTTGTCAAGGGCTAATTTTCAGTAATAGATCATCAGACCTTTGTTCCAAGGGAGCTCTAGGTAGACTGGAGTCTCCAACCTTTTGGAAGTTCACTAAATGATCACAAAACTGGAAATCTCTGAAGTGCCCTGAGGCTGGTTCAACACTGGCTTCATGTACTGAAGGCATATTTAGTGCATCACGCCTTTGGTGTATTGAATAGGAACAATTCGCTTCTCTGAACCTCTGTATTCTTTTCTAAAGTGAGAATCATAATACCTATGTTTCATTTGAATGACTACCCTAGCGTAGTACTCAAATCATGTTGCTGTTGTTGATAAGTGCCATTGAGTTGGTTCCAACTCATAGTGATTCTGTATAGGGTTTCTGAAGAGGGGCTGATGAGTTTGAACTGTCAACCTTGTTATTCAAACAGACCTTGTGGTCCAGTGCATATCCTACAGTGCCAAACGAGTACTAGACCATTTGTTGTTGTTGTTAAGTGCCGTCGAGTCAATTCTGACCCATAATGACCCTGTATAGGGTTTCCAAGGATGAGCTGGTGAGCTTGAACCACTGACCTTGCAGTTCAAATGACTTTGCAGTCTGATGCATTAGCCTACAGCACCACACCGATACTAGACCATAGAAGGCATTTAATTAATTATAATAGAAATTAGTATTTTTTATCATTATATGTGTTATTATTGTTGAATAACTCTCTGCTGCTACTCAATTTGGATCATGCTACTCAGAGACCTTCCCATGAGAGGCTTTATGATCTCAAATTGACCCCTCTATCTTACATCATTATGGAGTCCTGGTGTGGTGCTGTGGGTTAATGCGCCAGACTGCAAAGCCATTTGAACTGCAAGTTGGTAGTCCAAGGCCACTACAACCCTCGGCACTTAACAACAACAACGTTACATCATTTACCTGTGGCTTTTTATTTGGGACTCAACATTGAACCAACCATTTAGTTGTCTCTGCACTAAATATATATATAAATTCCATGTAAACAACACATTCTCTGTTTTAAACCAGACTACTTTCCAATTTTTATTATAATCTGGACAACCATTATGGACAACCATGTGATATGATAACAGAGATATAAATTTTATGAATCTAGTATATGACATGCATTGTGGTATTTTAATCCAGTGACTCTAACAGGTGGTTTTACTCCTAATCACTAGCTCTAACAGCATGAGAAACTGATCTTGGATCATTCTGAACTGGATCTTCCCAGAGCTTGCCTCTCCCTGTTCTATCAACCTATGACCTGAGCTGTAGTCAACACTAGCACCAACAAGGACATGCTACTGAAAACGTATCTTAAAGAGCTAAAATGACAGAAAGTGCTTTAAAAAAAGAAACCAATTTTTTATTCAGATTCTCAAGGGCAGATGAATGATCAAAAACCCCAATCTATACTAAGGAATCTAATTGTTGTTGTTGTTGTTAAGTGCCATCGAGTCGGATCCGACCCATAGCGACCCTGTACAGGGTTTCCGAGGGTGTAAATCTTTACAGGAGTAGAAAGCCTCATCTTTCTCCCGCGGAGCGGCTGGTAGTTTCGAACTGCTGGCCTTAAGGTTCACAGTCCGAATAGCCAGAAAATATTAGGGCTCTTGAGAAATGTAGCTCAAATAATACCATCCTCAAGAATTCTGGAGCTCTTGGCGAACCTATTTCTAAGCAATCTATGCTTATCTCGATTGCCATTTAAAGATTACACTGATCCCTATCCATAGCAATATCTATATATTCATCATCCATCTGGTATCAATTCACTGTTGTTTGTGCCCTCAAAATCAGTTCCAACACATAGTGTCAATAGTGTCTCTTATATACTGTAACCTACGCCTAACACCATGGAGTCCTGGTGTGGTGCTGTGCGTTAATGCGCCAGACTGCAAGCCATTTGAATTGTAAGGTTGGCAGTTCAAGCTCACCAGCTGCTCCTTGGAAACCCTATACAGGGCTGCTATGGGTGGGTCAGAACTGGCTTGATGGCACTTAACAACAACAACAACAGCCCCTAACACCACTAAACCATTCCGTATCCGCTTTATTTGGACTGCAAATGATTCACAATTTAACAGAAACGCAGAGGTTGTAGTGGCCTTGAAGAGAGGAGTGGATGCTCAGGAACACAGTGGGCTTCCCTGCACACTCTGAGTTGGGTGGATTCTCTGAGGGAAAGGCTAGGGTTGGTTGGAAAGGGAAGATTTTCTAACAACACCAGGAGGGAATTTAAAACAGAAGATCCACACAGTGGGAAACAGTTGAAGAAATTGTGTCAGATAATCAAAGTTCTCAAGGTAAGTAATACTTACCAAGAATGACTAGCGGAATAATTCAGAGAAACAGGAACAGCTCCTAAAAACAAGCAATAGTTTTAGTTCCTGATTCCAACTCACCAAATTCTCTGAAGGAAAAATGCTATTGTGCAATGCCTGCCCCCTCCCCTTCTCCCATTGTAAACAACATCAGTTCAGAATTCTTTCCTCAGAAATGTACCAAGCAAGGAGCTCTGGTAGCAGAGTGGTTACGAATCGGGCTGCGAACCTTAGGGTCAGCAGTTTGAAACTACCAGCTGTTCTGCAGGAGAAAGATGAGGCTTTCAGCTCCCTTAAAGATTTACAGCCTCGGAAACCCTGTACAGGGTCGCTATGAGTCGGAACCGACTCCAAGGCACATAACAACAACAACAGGTATGTAAAGACACGCCACAGAGTGGGAAACAGTTGAAGAAATCGTGTCTGAAAATCAAACCTCTCAGGATAAGTAATACTTACCAAGGGTGACCAGCAGAATAATTCAGAAAAACAGGAACAGCTCCTAAAAATAAACAGGAGTTTTAATTCCTGATTCCAACTCAGGGCAAATTCTCACTAAAGGCAAAATGCTATTGTGCAATGCTAGCCCTCTCCCCTTCTCCCAATGTAAACAACATCCGTTCAGAATTCTTTCTCCGGAAACGTACCAAGCAACAGGTACGTAAAGACCTAAAGACCAGCCACACAGGCTGACTAAGCCAGCTAGGGGGAACCAGGAGGCATCTAGCTGAAGCCAGCAGCTGCACAGTAAGTGAGCACTTAGGGATCCAGGAATCTGGCACTGCATTGCGCAGCTCAGCTGCCAGGGCTTTGAAAGAGCTGTGGTGTGCTGTCGATGCCCTCCAGCCTGTTGCAGGGGTGGGTGCGGAATTCAGCCTTAGGGATCCAGTTAAGGAGGCGAAAAAGCAGAAGAGGATTTGTGTAGAAAAACCAAAACCGCAATTTAGTCTTCAAATTTTGAGCCCTAAGATTTTCAGCGTCAAGTATTTACAGTGGGGCAGAGTTGAGTTCCTGTATTTCTGTATAGAAGATATTAGGAGATGAACTCGATATACGTTGGGTGAAAGGAATTGGGGTGAGTGGAAGGCTTGACGCTGCATTTCAACAACAAAATAAAACCTACATAAAATGGAGGAAAAGTCAATTATACATATCAAAGGATAACAAAAGTTTTTTTTAAAAAAGGAAAGAAAACAAAAATAACAGAAAGGGTGGGAGGAGTTTTGAGTTTATAAGGAACGGATAAATCCTCCCCACACCTCTACAAGATTCCTCTAAACTGTCAAATCCACAGACACTATCTGGGGAACACAAACTAGTTCTAAATTCCCCGTCCCCTGGGTTTGCAGTTTAAAACAAGTCAACAGATTTGGGGCCAAAGGGAAAGGGAGTTGGAATGGGCAGGTTCAGTCCTCGATGACAGTGGGTAGGGTCCAGCCACCATGCAGCTAGTCATTTGCCTACCTTCTCCTCTAGCAGTCAGTATCGCTTTGGTCACAGCGAACAAAACAACTGCGGACAAAATATCCAGGAAGGCACGCCCTGTTCTAGGGACCGATTATAAAGAAGTGGTCAAGGGATCGACGTAAAATTCTTCAACAAAAATACTAGAACATTCGCTGTTGTGTTTAGTCAGTGGAAAATTCTGAAACCCTGGAAGTTCTGTTTTTTTCTGTGCTTCGTGCATCCTCTAAGGAACAGAGGATAGGCAAAAAGAAGGGAGTTTTCCCTTAAGTGAAAATGCAGCAAAAGTAACGTCAACAATGACATTAAAAAACGACATTATTTCTATAATTGGCTTTATAATAAAGGCTTACCGTGTGCTAGGCAGCGTTAATAAGAATTGTACAGGCATTATACCATTAATATTTCATCTCTAGTTTTAGTCATTCGTCCCATTTATCCTCCTCACAGAGTCCTAGTACGGCATTATAGGCAGGGGTTCAAACCCACCTGCCGCTCCTTGGAAACTCTCAAGGTCCATATGAGTCAGACCAGATTGGATGGCATTTAACAAGGATAATGCCTGTGAGCATCCTCCTCACAGCATAGGGAGAAGCACAGGAAGCATAGGCAATTCTTCCTGGTGTGGTGCTGTGGGTTATTATGCCAGACTGCAAAGCCCTTTAAACTGCAAGGTCGGTGGCTCAAGTTCACTGGCTCCTCCTCGGAAAACCTATACAGGGTAGCTATGGGTCAGAACTGACTCGATGGCATTTAACGATAACAACAAGAGACCCTCCTCAGGTCACTGTAGGCAGCCTTCTGTCATTTGTCACTTACAGGTATTTCATCAGTATCACAAATCAAAATTTGGGGTAACAATGTAAGTTAGAATATCTGTACTCATGTACCTAGA